TATGTCAGTTTGTGATCACCAGCTACTGTCCCGCCTGGCTAGCTGATGAGTAAGATTAGCCACTGGGAAGCCAGGCGTTGAAGATGCAGTAAGTCTAGGTTGGATCATCAGAGACTCAGTGATTTGGCTACTGAAGGGCACAGGAGACCCGACCCAGCTACCAGGAAGACTGTGAGGTTGGGTGGTTGACTGAGAAACTCATTTGCACATGTGCGTGTGTGTGCCTGTGACAGCTGGAGAAAAGAACGTCCAAGGGCTAGTTACCAGCTAGTCCGAGTGTGCAAGGCAGTTACGGGAGAGATCCATAGTGTTTGGGTCTATATATGTGTTCGTATGTGCAGGGACCTATGCACCAATTAATGGGGGATCCACAGTGCACATGTGGGTGTGTGAGGTACCTGGAAGTCCATGGGGTCCAGGGCCAGTTACTGGGGTAGACTAAGTGTCTTAGACCAGTTACTGGGGGATCCACAGCATGCTGTGGGCAGGGGAGGGATGCCAGCTTATCTGTGAGTGAGGGGGGCTGAGTACCAGCAACTGGAGAGGGTCTGCGGGCACTGGGGGCTTGTACTTCCAGGCACCAGCAACTGGGGAGACGGAGGATCCACGGCCAGCTCCTGGACAGACTGTATGGCTAGGCTATTTACTGGGGGGACCCATATTGTATATATGTTTTGTATGTCTTTTTCCACTAACATTCTTTCATCCTGATCAGAGAGGGGAACAGGATGAGGTTGCTGACAGTGCCCGCATGAGTGCTGAATGTTTCTGTCTGTGCTGATCTGTGCAGCCAGCTGTGTTTGTATGTACATATGCGTGTTCATTTGAGTTGGAAATGCATGTCCAGGTCCACTTCTGGTTCAACCTGTGTATAGGGAGCAGCAGCAGCCTCACTTCTATCAAGCTACCAGCTCCGGCAACCCCTACCACTTTGTTCTGTGGATCTAGCTAGACATTATTTGCAAGGCAGATAGGAGATTGCTTTGCCCATGTTTTGAACATTACTCAAATTCCCTCTGCTTCATTCCCAGCCAACCGGAAACTACAAAATTGTAGTTATTATAGCACCAAGCCTCAGCTAATAGTTTCTCCAACAGCAAGGCATTAGTAGCAAGGCATTTGCTCTGAGCGTCCAGGCAGCTCTGAGCTACCATACTGAGCTTACAACTGCCTCCAAAATACTATGTGAAATACACCCTGCATTAGCAAGCAAAGTGTGCCAACAAATCTGAGAGCAAGCCTTTTTTTTTTTTTTTAAATTGCCAGTTGGAGGGCAGTAGCTCCTCGTACACTTTGAACAGCGACCTAGCTGAAAGCAGCACTCCCACTTCCCCCCCACATAGCACTCGTGCTCTCCCACATCCCACCCATGCACTTCCCTCTCTCTTGCGCAGTGAACAGATCTGGAGGAATGAGACGGATTAAAACTAAGCTGGCAAAAAATAAACAAAACATAATTCCTTTCAGTGCAGATCAGTTTCCCAATTAAGTTCACACTTGTGCCTGCATGAGAGAAGGGTTCGTAAAGGTGTGGGAATGAATGGCTGACTTAGGAGAGTGACAGCTGCTTCCTTCAGCAGTAATGTGGGCTTATGCAAGACTAAAGCATACATGAAACTACAGCCTGAAGCACTTCATGTAAGACTTTCCAATAAGCTAAAGTAGAAAAGGCTGAGAAATTTGATGAGTACTGCATGCATATAAAAAAAAAAGAAGCATAAAACTTTCTGTGTTAAATGCAAAAAAAAAAATTAAAACCATAAAAGAATTTGTAAGAGAGGGTGAAAAGTCCACCTCAGTGTATTGAGGGTGAAACAGATTTTTTTGTAAAAGACCGAGTTCTGGAACAAAGCCCAAAACAGGACTTCCACATGCAGTCACTGACGGACGAATTAGGATTTGCCAGGAATAAATCCTCCAGCCCAAAAATGTAACTCAGAAGAAGCAAACCTTACTCTGCCACCCTGGATATTACTGAAAACTCAAAACACTGAGAATTCAAATACAATGGAAAGAGATGAAAAGTAGGTATCCATGTGGAGATCATAACGGAGTCCCATTAAAATATACTGAATCGCACGTCCCATTGCAAGCTCACAAGCCAAACAATCTCTCTCAAATGAGGAGAGGGCGATATGGACAGGAACATTAGCAATGCAGCAGCTAGCTGCAGCATGCAAGAGCCTGTCAGCTCTCGAAGAGTGTGCATGGTACCCCCCAAATGATAGGCAGTAGCATCCCACCCACAGTGAAATCTTCCATGAAACAATGGACAACGCCACAGCATATAGTCCTTTAATTATGAATTTGCATCCAAATAAAATACCTATTTAACCAGTGTGGGACATGGGGTGCAGTGAGATTTTAAGTGTTATTTTTTCAACAGTCTGTTTATAACTTGCAAAATAAATAAAACATTATTTTGATGGCTGCAAATATGTATTTGGCAAAAAGTCATGAAAAGCAATCCAAAATTAGATTTTGCATACATCCATCTAAGAAAAGAAATTAAAAAAAGGAAAAAAGAAAAAAACTTCAACTACTTTGTCTCAGCCAAAACATGGATTACCAAAGCTACTCATGAGGATGAGACCCTCCAGAAAGCAATTAAATATTTCCATTTCACAAATGCCAGCATATTCACACAGAACAGGATGTTCCTAGGCCTGTTTTCAATTTAAGCGTAAGGGGAATGTTCTTGATACCTCCTAGAATTTTTACCTAAGACGCTACAAAAAAGTATCTTCAAGGGGCTGTACAAAATGTCATTTAGCAATTCAAAACAAAAATCTGAGAGAAAGGTCAGAAATGTCTTAGGCTAGCCTCAGATGAACAGTGACACTGAAGAAGTTGCCAAAGCTTGTGCCATTTGTCAAAAATATAAATGAACTCAAGGAAAAAAAGTCTAAATCATGACGCAGGCAAAATTTAATCCCTGAAGCATATATGTTCTATTTTGTTTAATTAAGTTGGCAAGAAAAACCTTGTGCAATAGTCTAAAACTATTATTTTCACTTCTTTGTTATGTATCTTTGGTAAAAGACCCAATGGTTAAGTAACTAATTATGCAACTCCAAGTTATTTTGCTAGACACAATGTAAAGCAAATAAAAGCAGCTTCCAGTGAAGCAGAAAAGCATCAGAACAATGAGATAACCACAGTAGCACACAACACTCTGTGTTTAGCAACTAAATTTCAGGATTTTTTTTGTTGCTTCTTGGTATTTTGTTCAAGAAAAGAATACAAAATCAAGAAAAGCCATGTCCATGTCACTTGAAAATTTCCCCAAGAAATTTAGAGACCTATGCAGAAAAGTAGACTAAGAAAATCCCCCAAATGACACAGAGCTCTAAGAATACCCCTTACAGTGGTGCCCATAGTTCGCTATTATTAGGACTGTCATTTCAGATAGGCACAAATAAAGGGAAAAAAGTCAAATAGCAAAAGGGACAGAGATAAAAGGACTGATCTTGCTTACAACAGAGCGCCAGTTATCCTCTGAAGGCTACAGTGGTAACTTTCTGGTGGAGTCAAAATTCAACCACCCCAACCCTGAACCTCACGACTAACTGCTTCTTAGCAAGTTTAAGTTCTCAGTATTTTCAACTGTGTGTTGTTTAACATTGGCTTAATCTTCTGTTAAGTTCTGCTTTGAAAATTCATGTGTGATATATTTATGGACTGAACTACCCAGAGCGAAATTTTAACTCAGTGTTATGAAGCTTTTCTTGCTTACATGCCTTTTACACCAGGCAATGGACAAGAAGAAAATTATCCTGAGAACAGGGAACTGTAGGATCCTGCTTCCCCTGAATGCCCTTAACACAAGGCAAAAAGTCATGTTCCTTTCTTCACTTGCTGTCAGTCATACTCCACCAAAGAAATTGATCCAGACCCAGAAACAAGGTGAAGATCTCCCTCCTCTCCTCCTCCCTCAGCAATACGGGACTGCCTGCTGGTGGACATGCTCTCCTGGGATGGGCTGAGAGTTCAAAGCCTCATAGCTTCTCAAGAACTGAAATAATGTGTTCACCTAGAGGGCTACCATGCAAAATGTGGTTCACCTAATACCACAACCCAGCAGATGCTTTCCAAGAAAGGATGAGACCCCGTTCAGTTAGGTACCAATGCTAAGAAAAGGTTGCAGATCCAAAGACTGGATGCCCAGGCAACACAAGACCTGCAGCTTCAGGGCCTCATGTCACAAGTTCTAAATTAAAAAGTACGAGCTGGTGGTGTTCATTTTTAGTTATAAAGCAAAATCACTTCTGTTTATGTGGCTCATGTCCTAAGCAACTCAGAAACTGCCTGGTTCCTTGTGCGTTACCATGGCACTGTAGATTAACTGAGGTGAGTGTCTATGAGAGGAGGCTGGAGAAAGTGCATTTCAGCAAAGACATTTGCCTCCGCAAAGCATTTCACAAACCTTCAGTTAGATGATTTTCATTTAGATTATATTGTAAACATTAACCATTTGCCATGCAGACCTTTTCTCAGGGAAAGATTACTGCATGGCTGGAAGTCCTACCATATCCCTTTTCACGAGAGAGATCGTTGTTCAGGACTTCAGTTTTGAAGTCGAAATTTTATTTGATGGACTTTATCATCAGAACGGTTTGACCTCCTCTTTCTTATGTTTATTTCTATATAAGAGCTTTTTAAGAAACATTTATTCATTTGGCTTATCAGTTATTTCTTCATTCACATAACATACTTTGCCTCTAACAGAGGACTAATCTGAGCAGTTGTTTCCAATAAAAGAGTAGTATTCTTGAACCAATTACAACTGGAACACAATCACTCGTGAATGATAAAATACAGTGACATAACCATGAATGATAAAGGTATTTTTTCCTGTATCATACCCATGAATTGTAAGCAATACACATCTAATGCACTGTAACATTTATTTCTGTTTAGAGAGTGAATTTAGATTTTCAAAGTATTATCACTTTATTTACAATAAAATGGAGCTGAGGATTAAAAATCAGGTTTCATACCTAGCTTGGTGAATAGCTTCTACCCATTCTTCTCCATCAACTTCATCCTCGCAACGGAGCTCCAGGGGCTTCTGCCCTTCATGGCCAAAAATAACAGTAAAGTAATGCTGCAAATTAGAACAAGAAAAAAATGTTCATAAACTCTTTTAAATAAAATACATATATAAAATTAAAAAAAAAAAATCTTTTTAAACACAGCCCAAAGGATTGCCAGCCTAGGAAGATGTCTTTTAAGCTATTACTCATGAAACATGGATTGAAGTTGAACCTGTATCCTTAATATATTCCCTTGTGTATCAAGGTAATAGCTTTCATGATACTTACGGTAAGTTATTGTTCTTTAGCTCCCACATACAAGACAACAGAATACAATTCCCTAAGCAGCTTCTTCAGTCAAATACAATAGTGTGACTGTAGTGGGGTGTCTGTAGTTCTTTTTCTCTTACATTTTTTCACTTAAAATTTTTCTTAGATGCCAGCACGGAATACCAAATCTGGAACTGCCACCACTTCCTCACAAGAATGCGGATTGTGCACTGGCTCTAGCTTATTTCTTCACCATTCCAAAAGAACAAGAAAAGTGTCCCTTCTCATTCATCACACTCCCAAAACACTTTTGCCCTTCTTTCAAGAAGCCTCACCCATAATTGTCATTGCAACAACTTTTTGTTTTCACAAGTAAATGCTACTCACACAAGAAGTGTCATATTCTTCGATGGCATTTCTTACATGAAGGATGTTGCCCACAGTATGTTCCATAGAACACAGAATTTCAGGAAAGGTTTTGCTACTTTCAGAATATAGTAATAATAGCAATATCTAGCAGGGAGGGGACAACCCCCAGTCATCTACCTTAAAACCCATTTCACAAGGCTGGTCATTTACAACCTTATTTTGCATAGCTTGCATACTAACTTACAGCCAGGTAGCATACAGCATTCTTGCAACTTAGATGAAAATAGGTGAGAAAATATTCTACCTAAATGCACACCTGTAATTTCCATAGGTCCCTTAAATGCATCCATTAGTACGCCAGATGTTTCACAGGCAGAGGGACCAGTGAGGGACCTGCCCATACTTAAAACCATCTGGTTTATTAGGTCCAGTGTGATTCAGGAGCTACTATAGCTAAACATCTCTGCACCAGATCACTCAGTTCTCTTCATTATGTAGAACTTCTCAACCCCTCTTCCACCTTCATCCCATTTAACAGGGAACTAAGTATAACCACATGTGGCAGCAATTACTTTCTGGGGTCTAACAGAAAATTCCAAACTCACTCCAGTCAGCAAGCGAGGTATATAATTTGCGTTCTCCCACACCATTAGCCATTGTTTACAGCAGTAAGAAACCTGAAATGATGTCAACAAACATTCTGCTTCCTTTGTCTAACCCACAGCTCAGCTGCAAAAGCCTCTGTGAGCCAAACACCATGCTGGAGATCAAGCAAATAGAAAACACCTCAGAATTAAAAGCCATTTCCAAGGCAGGAGGAACACAAGCATAAACAGAAACAGAAGGGATGAAATTTTACCTACGGAGAATTGGCTGCAGATATTGTCAACACTGATAATGAATTTTGTCCACATAAAAAGAGATTATTTCAGCCATTTATTTGCCCCTTCTGAAACATCTGGAAGCCTCCTGTGGAAGTACAACACACAACTCATCTGCACAGCATGCTCAGAGCAGGTTCAATACACCTCAGATGCACTGGATTCACTACACTGGCTCTAGCAGCGTCTATGCACCTGTATTTGCACTGAGGTTTGTGCCTGGGGACCTCACATTTACAAAACCCAGCTGCCTCTGTGCATCTGAGTACACTCATATGTTTGGTTTCTTTTTGGGTAACATGAGTATGTGTGATGTCATTCCATAAAGAGAAAACTATTAGTTTGTGCATTATATTAATTACTAAACATTGTTACGTGTATACAAAACACTTTTCATACAGAAGACCACAAGCACTGCAGGATTAGCAACAAACCAACAAAACAGAAACAAGGCAAAATAAGAAGCAGCATTCACATTTTAACGGGTTATACAAAGAAAGTCCAGGCTCAGAAATGAAACAACTCCAGAGCACAGATGAGGATCAAGAAATCATTAAAAGGACAATCCTATAAAACTAGGTTTTTGACAGTGCATATCACTTAAACCTGAATGCCATGAACAGAAAGAAACATCTAATCAGGTCCACAGGATTCTCCATAGCAGTGATAGAAAAACACTTTTATAACAATATAGTGCAGTTGAAAACAACCTACAGGACAGTAAAAAGTGCAGCAAGATTACACACAAATGTGCTCTGTTTATAGACTTGAATAGTCTATTTTAAAAAGTATATTTAAAGATAAATCACACTGTTCAGAGCTGCATTTTATGTAACAAGTTATTTGTGTTTCATAAAGCTCCTACATATAAAATTAGAATAAAGACACAAGTGTAGACAAGCACTGGATTTAATCCCATTTTGTAGGGATTCAAGTTAAAGGGAGAGACAATATTACAGTCCTCCCTACTTCTTCTTTTAAAGTGAGATAAATCAGACCTCTTTTGAGCAAGACTTGCAGTGATCTCATGTCACAGAATTTAGATGCATTATCAGATTTTCAAGTTGACGATACATATGAGTGGGTCTATATACATAGATATATATATTGATATACAGACATATATAATTTTAGCACTGCCATTCAATCTGCTGAACAGCTCAGGTTCCACATCAGTGCAGTGCAGTCCAGGTAAAAACTGCCTTTCTGCAAACACACTATTAGTTTCTTGAAGTGATGACAGTAAATATTTAAGAACTATAGGACACATTTACATCAACTACCCTCATCATCATTCATCATGTCTGTTGGACTAGCAGGCAAGCACTCGTGTTTCAAATTAAAGGCTGTGGTTCAGTTGGACAATTTTTTATCATTGTTTATTCTGAAAATCGTCGGACTCATAGATGATAAAATGAACATTCTGTATTTTGAGACAAAACAAACCAGTAATTCCATTTTAAGGTGTCTTTTCAGTATTCAGGTATGCACAAGCAAAATGGTAAGTTTTCATTTCAATAAAAACATCTCTGGCAGAGTTCTCCAAAGTGAAGCTTGGGAAAAAAAGGAGCGAAAGTTTCTTATACCATGCACAAGTATGAAGGCACTATCTTGACTAACAGTCAAGGAAAGAACAATGGGATCAAGATGCATCAAGAATATTGTTGGGTATCACTTCTCTGACTTGTATCTAGTGCTAATCAGAGTTTCTTCCTATGGTGAAAGACTAAGGAATGAGCTGACGGGCACCTCCGCTTCAGAGACAAGACTGGAACAAGATTAAGACCCTGAGTGAAAGAAGTCCTATACCAGAGTACACTGATTATTATGCTGGGCTCCCCACTGACAGCAGTTCACACTGTAACTTTGTCCTTATAAAACTGCCCAAATAATGGCTGTATTCAAAATAAGACAGCAAAAACTCTGAAGTTGCCATGCTTTCCAAGGGGAAAAACAAGCATCAGTCTAGTAAAAAACAAACAAAAACCAAACCAACCAACAAAAAAACCAAACCAAACCAAACCAAAAAAACCCAAATGATATATGTCCTGTAACAGAAACAGTACTTTTAAGGCATACTGAGGTAGAGCTTCCATCAATGCAGACACCCCTAAGACTAAACTTCCCATCAGCAGAAAGCTATTCTCCCTGTGACAAGAGCATTTGCTGTTTATGAAGTGAGAGTCACACCGAGACAGGCACCGCACTCTCCAATGCACAGGGACGGTCCCACAGCTCACTCTCTTCCCTCCACCTCAACATGGAAACTACAAAGAACATCTCCTATCCTATCTCTTATCTCCTATCCCCTGGTAACTTATCACTACATCTGTTTCATCAGTTACTCCTTTTCATTCCCCAGTAGTTGTAGTAACCTGACGTGTCTTTTCCATTTGTAAATGAGTGGTGATGCTTACAACAATTCACTTACTGAAACACTGAAGGACCAAGCAGCATGAGCACTCATCTTCCCATGGTGCTGCTGCTACCTGTCACAGGCAGAAAAGCTGCTACCCTAGATAATAACACTGCTTGACAATTCCTACTGCAAGCTCCTGCCTTCAGCTCCTTGTAAATTTGGTCAGCTTTCAATGTCCAGATGGAAAAACTCACACTGGAAAAATGATGTATGTGTCAACAGTGGTTTTGTTATCTTACCCTTCCATCAGGACAGCATGTAAAGATTTAAATTATGTTTCAAAGGACTCCAAGGTGACTACCAAATTTTGTTGTATTGTGGGGTTGTAAATGATTATAGTGTGGTAATAGCTACTTGCCTATGAACCATTTTTCCCTAAACTTTTCTTACCGAACACAAAACGAATTTAATTCTCTTCATAATATACTATAAAAAATACTATTTTTAAAGCTTAAGTGTGGCGTGACCTAGTTAGATGCTATTTCCTGATCTTTCAGTAACTTATTGCACGATCTTGGTTTAATCATTCAAGCCAGGACTTCGAGAGTAATTTAAAAAGAAAATTCCAGCCATCAATATTGATAAGAATGGAGACCATAAATGCAAAACAACTGTGAAAAGTTAGTCTGTGTACCAAGATTGCTAACAAAATTCAGAGCCTTAACAAAAGTCTGTCTTCCATGCAAGGCATGACGAAGCTTAATCATTTGCTGTATCTTTAAGGCTTATAATCACTACCTGATGTTTATAAGGGCATATTAAAAAACCTTTGAGGCTAAAAGAGATGGGAGAGGCAATTAATTAAAATTCAAGACGACAAGCTAAAAATATTTCTCATTCTTGACTTCCGAAGACATTTTCATTTCAGAATCAGGAAACCTGTACGCAATCTCAAGCACTAGTAAATTATTGGGCAGAAGAGGACAATCACTGCAGCAACTGAAGACTCCTCAATAATCCTTGGAGGAAAAGCAGCAAACTGCAGTCTAAATCAAAGCAGCTTGTACTATTCAAGGACATGTTAAGTCATGAAGTTTTCAGATGTGGAAAATGTTTTTTCATTTAAAATGTCCTTTTCATTTAAAATGTTTTTCAATCACAGAAAGGGCAACATCAAATGGGAAAGGTTCAG